TTTTAAAAACCATAATACAGACCTCTAATTTTAGAAAAATTCACTTTCCGTGATTGGATAAAAAACTTTTATGCCCATAACTATTCGTCAACTTTTCTAACTGATGACCAACTCTTAAACTGTAGAACGGAGTATGACTGTATGAAGTTAGTAGAAGGCAGTCCAAAAATCAAAGAAGATATTGAGGATTAATCGCTTAGAAGAAGTATAATCCTTTGATGCTTTGATTGGCATGGCATCATCCGAAACCCTCGATTTTCAAGCTAAAACCAGAGGTCCATTTAGAACCATAAAGCATTCGATAAAGCTCCCAATCTTGACATCGCTATTAGGATGTTGAGAACCCATTAAGGAACAGCCCCCAATGACAGACTATTAGTAGGGAGATCAGGGATTCTGGAAGTACTGATAATCATAAACTATTGAGGGTTCATCAAAAGTCTGTTAATGTGGATAATTCTCACAAGAAAGTAATGTCCAAGAGACGACAAGATAGGAATATAGTTTTGTGGAATGTGACGATCAATGGATATATCAGACTCGGGGGCTTTGAGGCTGCAAGACAATTGTTTGATGAGATGCCCCAAAGAAGTGTTGTATCCTGAAATGGATCGATGGCTGGGTATTCTCAAAATGGGTTCTTCAAGGAAGCCATTAGGATCTTGTGTATACTGAGAAAAACTGAATTGAGTTAGTGTTCTCCCTCATATCTTCTCTCATACAATTGAATTCAGCCCAGCAATGGATTGGATATTGCAGTGGTAGCTTCCGGTTGAGAAAATTAAATTCAAGCATTCAAGGAGGTTTTAAAATTAAAACGCAAAGGCAGACTTCAGCCTAGAAATGGGTTGGATATTACACTAGCAGCTTTCGACAACAGAATTTGACTGATGAGCTCCTCTTTTGGGTAAAAGACTTAAACCTCCCCGGATATTAATATTAAATACTAAGACATTCCTTGTATTTTTCAAATGGACTAACCCCTTTTATGTGATGTTGTTGGACAAGAATCTCCCTTCCATTAGGATTCTCAAAACACCACCACATGTGAACTCATGTGTGTGTTAAATATTCTCAAAAACTCAATTTTGCACTTTTAAGGTTGGGTTAGGCTTTAATTACTTGTGAATTTCATTGGACAAAGACCTTCACGCAAAGGCTCACCGTTGCCTGCATCTAATTCACCATTTTAACAAAGAAAAACCATTGCTTTGTGTCACTCTTCTTTCACCATATTCATCGGTTTACTTGTTTACCCTTTTTACGGTCAAAACCCTATTTATCTCCCTAGCCCCTAGCATGCTCCCCCTCCTATCAAGGCCCTGTTTGTTTTTCAGTAAGTTATTTACCCGGGTAAATGCAGTTACTTGGGTAAGTTTTTCCTGAGAAACATTTACCCGGATAAGTGCATTTATCCATGTTCTTTTATTTCTTATGTAAATAAGGCAATGACCATTTTAGCCATATTAAAATGAACATTTCTGTCCCATTCAAGTGTTGGCAACTTTTCCTCTAGGTGGGAAGGTTATTTATCCACCTAAGAGATGGATATCACTTACCCAAGTAAATGGTACTCAGGAAAATAAACTTTCCCTGATCCCCACATAAATCTAAGAAAATAATATGAGATTCTTTGTCAATGGGAATCAAAATCCCATTGACCAACTTTCCCCCCTCTCAAAATCTAAAAAAAGAACGCCCCCAAGGAGCAAGCACAGCACTCTTAAGACAAGAAAACCATGATATGTCTTTAAAGTTACAAGAAAATCAAAAGTCAACTGCAAATGGAACAAAAATTCATGCTTTAACAATTTAAATCTGAAAATAAGACTGATGAAGGGAAATTTGGCCCGACCTCGCAATCACCCGACACGTGGCAAAAGCAAACACCTCGGGACAGCGGAGCGCCCAAAACGAGCACCAAAAGTAACGAAGTCCAAGCTCACTACCGAGCCCGAACTCCAGACCGCTCTACTAGGAGCCCGAGCTCCCTACCAAGAKCCCGAGCTCCCTACCAAGAGYCCGAGCTCCCTACTGGGAGTCCGAGCTCCCTATTAAGAGCGAGCTCCCTACTGAGAACCCGAGCTCCCTGCAAGGAGCACGAACTATATTGGGCCCCAAGCCTCACAAAGCTGTGACCCGAGCTGGCCCATGGCAGCTCGGAACACTCCCCAAACCGAACTCAAGACATCTCGCTCGCCACTCCAACACTTCGCTTCCGAAACACCAGGCTGACCAAACGTACCTGACACCAAGGACGTCTGTATCCAAGGGCGACGCACCTGACTGATTTGGGATCTGACGCCTGACAGCCGCACTTCAAACGGCCTCTTGCTACCGCCACCTGCCACCATCGTTACTAGCCGCAAAGACGGCTCCGACAAAAGGAGCAGTGGCGGTTCTGTCCGGCCAAAGGAAGTGACATCCGAACTGGCAGGAGTTCAGAAGTAATCACGCTCGATCTGACGGAAGCCTGGAAGTGAGTGCGCGAGGTGGTTATAAAAGGCTCCTACCCCCCAGGAACGAGGTATGCTAACTTTTGCGCTATCTGGTCTATCTTGCCTTTGAAAGAATCTAACTTGAGCTTCAGAGCCCTTACGCCAGGTTCTCCCCGGAGCTTCTCTTCTCCTTCCGTTTCAGGTCCCTGCCACTCAGTTCAGAGGCAAGATCGTTGACAGCTAAGATCGGCCGGATTGTGCATCATCAAAGACCAATAAATATCACCACCATGATTTGATACACATTTGCACTTCTTTCTTGTATCTCTTTCTCCCCTGTTTACTTCTCAGATTTCCATTTCCACCTTAGATCAATAAAAAAAAAAATCAATACGGGGTTAGGAGATGATGGGAGATCTAAAATTCTTAGAAGTAAGAGACTCCAACGGTGAGAGAAAGAGGAACTTGCAAATTAGAGAGAGAGAGAAAGAGACTCAAAACAAATTCTCTGATTTTGCCTGAAGGTAGAGAAGAACAGAACTGTGAAGGAGACACTTTACATTTTGGTTATTAATGTTTTTTTGTTAGAGCTTTACCTTTCGATTTTAATTTATACCTTATATTGTTATGATGTTATTTAAATTATGATTTCATATAATTTTTGTAAAGCATTATTTTATATCTTGAGTATAACCATGACAGAGACACAAGTTCTCTAATTTTGTTTAGTATTAATCCTGTAAGGACAAGGAATGCATTAATCCATTTTAAAAATACAAGAGAGGTCTTAATATTTGACATGAATATCAGGGGAGATTTAAGTCTTTTGCCTAGGAACAACCGATGTGTTCCTCTGTTTCGGTGCGTTTGTCAATTATTCCAATGGTGAATTATTTTGCCATGACAAAAAGCTTACAGGATTGTCTGGCAATAGTTCCTCTCAAACCGATGAACCAAATTGTGGTACTATTCAATAACAGGGACGAGTTATAGTGAATTAGTGACAACAAGGACACTAGTAAAATTATCAGTGGTGAGGGGGGGAAATTTGGGTTTTCTGAAAAATTAAAACTAAAAATGTTACATGTAAGTGGAATCTAATGGTCAACTAACGAAAATGTTATATTTATTGCATTCGATGTTTTAACTTACCCTGACCAAACCGGATGGTTGAATGTTAGACTCAGGAGCCTAAGACTATTCTGGTTTACTTAAATCTTACATTTAAAATTTTTGAAAAACAATGAAAACATAATAGAACAGTTGAAAATCAGCCGGATTTGATGATCCAACCGGATTCAACCACCCGCCCAAGTCAATAAATGCTTGAAAACATAAAATGTCAATAGTGAGATTAAACTCTTAATTAAATTAGTCTATTATCATTAATCCATCTTGGTACTTGTGCTTAAATATACATCTTTAATGTATGTATTTTATTAAAATAGATGTACATTCCCCCAAAATGTTTAAAACAAAATTTGAACTTAGATGTGTAAATAAGACAATGACCATTTAGTCATAAAAATCAATTACTAAAAGGGGTATTTTTGTCCCATTTAAGTATTGTTAATTTTCCCTCCTACCTAGTGGGAAAATTATTTATCCATCTATGAGATGAGTATCATTTACTTGGGTTAGTGATATCCAAGAACATGAATATAAAAAAGAATATGAAATTCTTGGTCAATGAAAACCAAAATCCCGTTGACCAATTTTCCTCCCTCTCAAAATCCAAAAAAAAAAATGAACACCCCTAAGTGTTCATAAAGGCATTTCAATTGCAAAAAGAAGATAAATCATTACAATAAAAAATACCAAATGCAGCTTAATGCATATGAAATATACAACTCGTGGTCAAACCATTTGACCTAACAATCAAATTGTTTGACCTGTGATCCAACAAGCATTTTAATTTTGTGTAAAGCTGCATTTGGTGCTATTATTTATCACTTTGACTATTTACTAATTACAAGAATATTATTATTTCACTTTGAGTTCTTTATTAATTATATGAGTGATATTATTTATCGCCTTAAGTTTTTTATTAATAATGCATTCGAAAAGCAATTATTACCCCTTTTTTAGTTGTATATATGACATTGATCTTTCATATAACTACAAGAATGATATTAAAAAAGAAAAGTCTAACTAAGTAGGCCTGTCAATAATATTTAAAACTTTATACCTCGATCCAATTATCATATATTTGAATGAAATGTTTATATAATCAAATTTGAGTAATCTGCATCCAATTCATAATAAAAACCAAAAATTAAAAAAAATACATAAAATTTATAAAAAAATACACAGGCCCAATGCAGATTTCTGATTTCATTACAGAGCTATAAACAATCAAAATGTCAACAATCCACACTCTATGCACCAACCCCCACTCATGAGTTGGCATCAATTCCGCTGAACACAAATACACATTTAAAATATTATTTGAAAAGAGTATAAATACAAATATATACGATATAAATACATAAAAATTAATACAAATATAAGATTTTGCCATCTATATATTTGTAACTGAACCTTAATATTAAATAAACAAATGGGAACAAAGAAAGATATTTTATTTGATAACAAAAATGATGTTAAACTAACAAAAAGAAAGCGTTCGCCTTACTCTTGAGACCAAAAAAATACAAATTATTTACATAAAGAGAACTCCTCGAGTCTGCATTTCAGTCGGTCTTCTCCCACGATTTCGGGCGCTTCGCCCGTTTAGGCATCGTGCATAACAATTTTCGACTGTCGACCTTGGAGAGAGAGAGAGAGAGAGAGAGAGACCACGCAGCGGTGGGCAACGAAGGTAGCTTGGCCATTTCATTCCTTGCCAGATGTCTACCTGCTGTGCTTGTACCCGCGTTCTCGTTCGTACTCCCGATCATGGTCTCTCCCGCGATCTCGCTCCCTTGAGCTCCTCGAGGGCCGGGCTTCCTCATCTGAAAGTGGTGGCGGTGGTGGCTCGTAACGCGATGGCTTCCTCTTGAAGTGCCGGTCTTCGTCGCTCGAGTCTTGATCGACGATGCTGCTGCTCCCACGTGCCCCTCCCAAACTCGACATAGATGGCCCTTTGGTCGGCTGTGGTGGCTTCCAGTCGTCACGGTAACCATTAGACGACGGCCTATCATAGTCCTTGTATCCGTTGACGGGATTTCCGGGTTTGTCCGTAGAAGAAGACAACTTCCTCTTCTTACTCTCCCCCTCAGGGAAGCTGATGCGAGAGAAGACGCTCCCTTTCTGTTTGCGGTCCGCCGCGGCTGCCTTGCCGGGGTCGGCTTCGACCGCCGTTGAATCATCTTCGTCTTGATGATGGTAATGGCGGTGATACTGATCGTCACTTTTCCTCTTCCCAAGACGGGATGACTCAACCTCGCGTGAGGGCCGTTCCGGACTAGGCGCCTTGTCCGATCGGCGGTGGTGTTGATAGTCCGACGCTGCCGCATGAGACGGTAACTTCTGCACCCAAAAAAAACACGACTAATTAATTATTAATCATCACAAGGCAATAGCACGTGCAAGAGAGTACTAAGTTATAGAATTATCCAACCGCACGTGCAATAGGGCTCTTTTAACATTCCTCTTTTTCGCTTTTCGTGACATGAACGGCAAAGACCACGAGACAACGTTGGCTTTGGCTTTATAAACCAACATACAAATTTTTTACATGATATTGCAATTTAACATTATTCCTTAAATTCTTCTTTGATTATTACCTCTAATAGCCCAACTTAGTAATCATTACTCCGGTATTACAGGAACAGGGCTTATAAATTTATCAAAAATAGGATTAATGATGGGTGAAAAAAAATAGAGCCCAAAGCCCTTGAAACCATAAGCTAAGCCAGATGAGATAACGTTTTTAGAGAAATAGGAACGTGAATTCCCCGTTTCAGACACATAAAACCCGTATTTTGTTTATTTTTATTGAAAGACCCTGAAGCAGTAGAATTTTGAAAAAGAATTTAGAATGGATAAGGCCCAGAACGTCATAATTCCATCCTCAACCGAAACGAAATCTGCCAGTCACATGGTCAAAAGGGAAAATTGAGCCCTAACAATACCACCTCCCGCTAGAAGTCGTTGAAGCCACAGATGCTTAGGGCACCGCAAAAAGGGCATCTCCATTTTAAGTGGTATATCGACCACATTATATCATGTATGGCGCATCTGGGGATGCAGATGCAAAAACAAGTTCCATGCCTGAGGAAATTCAAGGAGTCAAGTGCCTAAAAATACCCAAAAGGAATCAAGTGCCCATATAGGCCTCACGTAGACGGTAGACAACACCAGACCCTGGAAGCAGCAAATAATTCCAGATTTCTTTGGATAGGAGTGAAAAGAAAGTTTTGGCCTTGCCACACCAAATCTATACTCCATCGCTACAAAAAGAGAATACATATGAGCCAACCACCTCTTGAGTTATTTTACACTAGGTAGCAAATAACCGATACGTGAAAGAAACATCCAAAAGAGAATTACCGAAACGGTTGTTTGGCCACACAATTTGCTCATCAGAACCGATATCATTATATCAATGCTACATTTTCTTTCTAGTTTCTACAATTAAGGGGCCTGTTTACAGTTTACCTACTATAAAAATCCCGATAAAACCATCTAATAGAGAAATAGATAGCCCAAAATCTTGTTTATGAAAACGGATCAATGAAAGCAGGAGGGCAAGGCAGCATGCCTTGTTAACAAAACAGAGATTGCGTCAAAAAACCTAAATTGACCCAATGCCATGGCCTACATCACTTGCTCCAGAGTCCAGAACCAGAAACGAACATGCTCCACAGCAATTTTCAAATTACAGACTACACCTCTAGACTTGAATAACATATAAATATTATTTTTCGTTGCAGTGAAAATCAAGAATCTGAAATACAAGAACTATCGTATATCTGTAAAATCACATTTGGATTGAAAGTGATGCCCCCCCCCCCATACGGCGGTACCCCACTGTCAACCCACTCTAGTCCAACTCTAAATAACATGAAAATTTTGGACTGCCAATTTATGAGCAATGCAGCAATCCATTATGCAGCATACCGATTTACAACTCACTACAAACATGCCAGGTCTCAAATAGAAGTGGAATTAGAAGACCGACAGTTCCACACTGGTCCAACCATGTTTATAGCACGTTTAAGTCGGTAACGATGCACAAAGCATTACCTGCTCTTGGCAAACAACTGAAATGCACAAGGATATACTTGAGCATAGCAGGAGGAAACTAGGGCTGCAAATGGTATCCGGTTGCCCGAATTCAAATTCAAATCCAATCCCATCAAGGGTGAATAAAATCTGATTCAATTCAATCAGATGTAAATATATTTATACTCGTATACTTAAGAGTTCATATTGTACCTAGTAGTAGAGGTGCTTTATATGTTCTGTTTTTACTAAATTGTCATAGGTTCAAGTAACAAGTAATTTTCAAATCATTTTGTTCATGAAACACAATATCTAGGTCATTTTTAGTTCAATTTTGTTATTAACATAAGATATTTTTATCATTGTTAGTTTAACTTATTTATACTATTCAATATCTGACTGCAATCCGAATTAAATTTGAATCCAATATAAATCGGATGGATAAGATCCGATTTGAATTTAAATGTAAATGAATCAAATTTGGATCTCTACTTGTATCCAATTTGATTCAATCCGTTTGCAGCCCTAGGAGAAGCTAAGGCCTGACTATCAACTACACATTTGTATCAAAAGATAAGCTTTACAAACCAGTAGTTGCAGATTTTAGGATGTTTTGAAAAGATTGGTGGTAAATCACAGCAACAAAAACGACTTTTCTCTTTTTCCATGAAAAAAGAAAAAAGAGATACTGCGTTTTCCTGCCAACCTTTTTGTAATCATGAATGATATTAACCTGCAGTACATATCCAAGAAGGCACAAAGCGAATTTTGACAGCAAAAAAAAGACATACAGGTTTGGACTTCATTGAAGGAACATCACCGCTGCTGCTCATTTCTTTAACACCTTGTCGTTCCTTGGAACATTCCCTACTGGACAAGGGGAAAAAAGATTCATACTCTATAAAAGCATCAAATTAACAAGACAATTGTAACATCAAGCAATTAGCCAACATCCAGGAAACCATAAACAACACAAATGCACTTATTTATATCACGTTATACCTTATTCATTAATAAAACTATTTGTCATCCATCAAAATTCACACACACATGCCATTCAATGCAGTTTTCAATTTTTATATCATTTTATGATAATTGCAATAAAATTTAGTGTGGAGACATAATCAAAGGAACATTATTCGCTATCCTTCATTACTTAATTGAAAAGAGACTAACGTGACTTGAAACTTCTTTTCTAAATGCAGAATTGTTGAGCACCCACAATTAGGTCCTCAGAGAATGGTTGTCAAAATGTGACAATTTATGACAACCATTCACAATTAGAGTAGTGAATCTGAAGGGTTTCAAATTGAATCTTACATCAATTCTTTCAACAAGTAACTTACAATTTGCCGTATGAATCCTACAATTTAGAGTTTATACAATTCATTCTATTTGAATCAATTCAGTTGAGACTTGGTTTTGTACTTTTTCCATTTCTTTTCATTCTTTTTCAATGAGCTCTTGTTTTAAAACCGACCAAAGGTTAAAGAGCAAATGTAAAGTTGAATTTTGTTGTATTAAATAATATATATGGATCAAAAGAAGGGCAAAATCACTTTTTTATATTATGATTTACAATATTGAATCAATATTATGATTTACAATATTATTAATGATTCAATTTGATTCAACCTTCTCTGCAATTTATAATACAATTAACAGGATTACCAGATATTTAAGTTTTTAGTTAAATGTTTTTAATTTTTTTACAAAATTCTAAAATATTGAAGCAATATTAATGATTCAACCTTCTCTACAATTTATAATACAATTAACAGGATTACCAGGGTTAATTATCTATAAGGGTTAGGTTGAAAGTATTGGTCTTTCCTTTGTTGGGTGATTTCTTATCACCCTGATGTATCTTCTTTAATCTGTTTCCTTGATAAATTTTCTTTTTCACTTATCTTCAAAAAAAAAATTATAATACAATTACAATTTTCAGAAAATTTACCCAGAGGGGTGATATGGACAACCTAGGCCATGAATCTAATGAACCTCATCATTAGCCACATTTTAAAGTGTCTTGGCCCATGTCATCCACAGAGCATATTATATGTATTGGCATTTTCGAATTTTGCCTCTAGTCTGCAACTATTGTTGTTTCAATTTGAATTAGGCAATATGTATGATGTCACAAGGGTATGATACCAGAAGAACCTTGACAAAACAAATCCCCCTGTCAACTTTGAAGAATACTGGCTGATTTACCTCTTATGATATCAGCTGATTGGCTACAGTTCTTCAGATATCATGCCTATACTCTACCATAGACAGACTATTATAATCATAAGAGATCATATCTTGCCTTGCCATGCCATGCATGCAGAAACGGGTTAAAAAGAACTTGGAAAGTGGAAAAGAGAGTAACGTGGAAGACATATACACCCACACAATAAATGAAGCATAGCAAATCAAAAGGATAGGATCATTTATCCATTTCAATATTAATAGTTTATTAGAATAACCACTTGCCACTGTCAATCCTAGATGTGCAAGTATTTGTAGGAACTGGAGAATCTCATTTCCACCGGCATGACAATAATGCATATATCTCCGCTGGAATTCTACATGGAATATAGCAACTCAACACAAAGAAGTGTACATGACCCCATAAAGACAAGAACAGTTATAATTTACCTTTCACCGCGTCGTTCACTTTCACGTTTTCTCCTTAGATCAGCTTTCCGGGCCTCAAACTCCTCTCTGCTCATGACTGGAGGGGCTGGAGTTGAACCCATAGCAAACTCTGCAAGGTCCCTGGAAATTTTGAAGTTTCAGATCAGATTACTTATTTAACTGTTAGGCTTGAAAAATGTAAGGTATATATGAAAAATGAAAAAAGACAGAAAGAAGTGCATCATATTTATCCGTCAATGAATACCTCTGAGGTGGTACCACAGGCAACATGTATCCCTGTCCAACAAAAGGATCTTGTGGTAGGATACCTCCAAAGGGAACATCAAAAGGACCAGGGACATATCCCATATATGGCATAGTACCAGCATAAGGGGCAACATATCCATCCATCCCAAGTGGCAAACCAGACCAATATGGGTTGTAGGTTGACGGTCCAAGTGGCATCATATAGTTTTCAGCCGCAAGATCCTGAGAGGCTTTCCATTGCATGTCTACAGCTGTAGAGCAGAGCATAATTTCAAACAAATACTTTTTATTTGCAGTTACAAAAAATCTAAAACTCAATGAAAAAAGAGGGAAATGAGAAAACGACAATCAACAAATAGATAAAAAAAGTTCACCAGCATACAAGAACTTGCACAAGTTAATGTGCTCAGACATTTTCCCTTTTACTTCAATGGCCAACCATTATAGCATTGGGCAACATTTCGCTATGATAACCAATTGCCAAGAGATAATTTGAAAATTTCTTCCAGGACAAAATCATCAAAAAAGAGGGGCAAAGCACTAACCATTTACAGCCAATCGAACTTTCTTCTTCTTTCTCTTTCCTGAAAAAAAAGAATGGAAGAAAGTAAATATTAGAGCATGGAGGACACTTTCTCTTGCAAGCACTGGGTCTTGCAGAAGTTTGTCAGAATCCTTCTAACAAGACAGGAGAAAAGCTAAGTAGAATTCCAGAGCTTGAGGCCTGGTCACCAAGACTCACAAATGAAGGCCATCAACATATCCACTACTATTTGTAGATTATTCACCTGGCTCACCAGCAGGCATCTTCTGCTGTACATCCTCAGCCAGTGGAGCACTCCCCTGTGATGTTGGACCCTTCATGCTCATTGACTCATGTGTGGCTTCAGAAACATCCACAGTTTGTGCAACTCTCCCCTTCTCCAATGACTGTTGTGGAATAGTTGTAACTGCCTTTCCTTCATCTGCTGTCTCCTTGGTACATGGAGTGTTGTCTTTTTGTGGTGGAGGCATGTGGTCTCCCTTGGAAGTGGCAGAATGTGTAGGTGATGGGATTTTGGGTTGTGCACAACGAGCAGACTCCATATCTGACAATAGCAAGTAGGTTGATACACAAGATTGAAGAGGGAAGAACATAAGGGAGGCATGAATTATTAAAAACAAACCTTGAATTTGCAACATGCTTCCTGCATTTTCTGCACTGCTGTTATTTGACTCCAAAATGCGGTTAATGGTGTCCCTAAGTGTCTTATTAGGTAAAAGATCATCTGCAAGTATACTTGTGGCCCCACAAACACACACGGACTTTGAAATAATGTGGTCCCGGATGCCTATTTTTGGTATAACATGGAAGTTTTAGAATCTCCAGAAGTAAATTTTACGCAAGTTAAAAAATAAAAACATAACAAAATAATAAGGAAATTAATAATACAAGAACTATCTTTCACATATCTGAGCAAGATATACGCCATCACTTAGAAACATAATCACCAAATATCATATGATGACCATTTTAATTTTTAAGTAAAAAACAAATAAACAAGTAGTGGAATCAAAATAGTGTTAGTTTTAAGTCATCCTCAAATATTATTATAAAGAGTTGAAGGTACATCTAACTTATTGATATTTTACAGACAAGAGGAAAAAAAAAAAAACTAGTAAAACCAACCACCACCTTCCTCAAAAGAAGAAGAGTGGAGGAGCAGGTTAGACCAAAAACCTTACATTTATCACAGAAACTCTTGAAACAGCACTTGCTTGTTAGTACAGCATCTTTCATTACTTCCTTGCACAATGGGCAGTGAAGCTCTGGAGGAAGATCACTGACTGATCGAGTGGTAGGTAACCCTTCAATTTCCTTCTCAAATGCAGCCCTGTTTTCAATTTTAAAAGGTTCCAGGTAAATATCCAGCTTAAATAGAGCTACAATAACAGCAAACAAAATAGTGAATGAGTTTAATGGACAGCTTACTCATTTGGCCTCAAAACAGCAACTGCACCACTTGGTAATGCATAAGAACCCTCTGGAGTGGCAATTAACATTGACTTTGGAATACCAGTTGGAGGCTTTACCCTTTTAATGTCATAGTTAGGATCACCATTTGTAGGGCAATGCTGAATAAAATGACCTGGACAGTCACACATTAAGTATCATATGGCTATCAAGAAAAGCCAACAAAGCAAACAATAATTAACATCATGAACCTCATCAATGCCAACATACCAGGGACCTTGCATCTGTGACAGATGTAACCTACAGGAGGTGTCTTCCTCTCCAACCCACCACGACCTTGCAATAAGCAAGCTTTAATGCTCAGACCCAATAAAAGATGGTATGTATGTTACTCAAGAGAAATAGACAAAAGAGAATTACCAAAACCCCGGCCACCCATCATTCTTCCACCCATACCCCTTCCAAAGCCTCTACCAGAGCCAAAACCCTCCTGACTTTGTCTGAAATGCAATTAGAATTTTTAGATATCCAACATTAGGGAACAGAGGAAAAGAAAACAGTATCAGAAAACAGAAAATTTGGCACCATAAAGTAACCAAGGGAGAATGTCTCACCGCTGCCAGTCCAAGGCTGGTGTATCAATTAAAGCCTTAATCTTGCTATCCTCATCAACTTTATTGGGAGCAGGAGCATCCTGTACTAGATTGCTTGACTGAACTGGTTGCACTTCTGGAATGGCATACAAATCATTACCAAATTCATCCCATTCCGATTCCTCGGGCTGTAAAGTCCAAAGGACAAGTTACTCTACTGCTAAATCGGAACTTCACACTAAAAACCATGCAAAGACCAGATTGTATCTAAGAGAATGGTAACTAATGCTTACAAATCTTGCAGCAGATGAATCTGCCAAAGGGAAGCTACTCTTTGCAGGTGGAGCATCCTCTACTTTATTCTCTACTACTTTTGGCCTGCAGAAGAACAGACACACAGCCTATCTCAACTAAAACCTAGAAGATCCCTCAGAACCACTACCATTAAAGAATATGGTACCAAATTGTTTAAAGTTAAAAGAAAAATAGTTACCACCAAAATGAAGGAGATCTGAAATATGCAAAACTAGGAACTATAAAGTAATCCATCTTAAACTGCAAATAAACCAACATGAGTAAGCAACAAATGGTCAAGATTGAAGGTGTGAGGTAGTACTCGTCCTGTTCAGGAACAATGGGCATGCGAGGCCGTCCAGGAATCCGACGAACTAAAACAGAGGTATTTTTGGGTATCAACATGGCTTCATCATGGTACTCTGAAATTGCAAAGCAAAGAACACAACATATATAAAAACCGCAGAGATTAATCCAGTCCATGTAACCAAAGATAGAAGTGAAAGGAAATCCCATAAACCCACAATAGGACCTATAAATAAAAATAATCCTAGACATGGTTCATAAGGCTAGAATCGATCACAACACTCGATGTCCCTCATCAAAAAGTACCAGACAATTCGGCTCCAAACCTTCAAACTCAGTTCCTTCTTAATCCATCATCCCAATTGGTAATTGCATACAATGTCCAGCCAAATACTAACCAAGTCATATGGAAGAGCACAAGAACATGCTCTAACCCTCACTAACCTACACTAACCCTCAGAATCTACAGTTAATGGAACCCACGATTTAACTATTCATTTTATTGCAAACAAAATGAATTTATGGAAGTTTTTAATATGAACCAAGAAAATCTAAGGGAACCAACCTTCATTTGTTTGAGCATTGGCGACCATGAGGTCAAAATCGGTTCCCCTGCCCAAATGCTTGGATTCAAATATTTTTTCTTTCAAATTCGCAACTGATATGAAATGACCGTCGATAGGAATAGAGTCGTAATCTTTTGCACTTTTAAACTTATAATACACAGCCATATTCCTTTCTTTTTTTTTCTCTCAGCTATAAACGTAAGAGAAATCAAGAAAAACAAATTGCCCAAAGAGGAATAGATGAAATTCAGAGGCCGTAAAATAAAAAAGGCCTGATATCAAACTCTAAAACAAAAATAGATACTGAGTACAAGCAATTATCTCCTTTCTTTTCCGGTTGTCCTCTGTTGTTCAAACAACGACCACACGAACACGCAAGATCTCTGAAAAGTAGAAGATTTCCCCCCTTCAATGCTTCAAAACTAAGAAGATTTTGATCTGAACACCTCTGGAGCCAATATACTAAGAGAATTCTTCGAATTTTGGAGACCAGACGACGCCTCCAAGAAAAGTTCGTAGCCTCGCCGCACCTAAACCCCCAGTTCGTCGCGAATTCGATGCTTTCGAGCAGATCTAGACGAAACAATCCAAGTCCTCGTTCCAGATAAAGTAAAGCCAGATGCAGCAGTAATCGAGCATTCACAATCTGGAGATCCAAACGATCGCCAAGGCCGCAATCTTCACGAACCAATCTCAACTAACGGATTCAGCAGCGAAAGCAGATCCAAAGAACGCAACACCAACCACGATTTGATTCGATGATCGCAGGACTCCGAAACAAATCCAACCAAGCAAGATTGCACCGTAGAGATCCAAAATATCGAATTATATCATGCAAAGAATTTAATTTCCCGTCAGAATAACGCAAAAGGCAATTCAGAATTTCAAGCGACAGCAGAACTCGAAGGAAGGAGAGAGAAAAAATTAGGGTTAGGTTTTTCTTCAAAGAGGATCTTTGCTTGCAGAACAGAACGGCACGGCGACGCGAAACGCCGAGGGTTACGGTTTCGCCTCTACCAAAGCCCGGAACTTTCGTATATAAGGCAACCGCTAACTGAGGTTAAATCCTGGTTAAGTGCCAGCTAGTTAGATGGTTTTTTAACCCGAATCGGTCCAGGTCCAGCTGGTGGTTTGACGGCCATATGCGATACGCCTATACGTCATTTGTTTAAAGGCCTAGTTAAGTGCTAGATCATGTTGGAGGTATGTTGGAACGTATTTTATTGAGAACATCTCCCAACCCCTTGCACAGCATTTTGAGCAGCATATCTTGAATGATACATAATAGGGTGGATCGAATAGTCGTCTATGACAATGGCAAGGGGATTTGATCCCATGGTGTTTCAAATTTCCAAATTCCAACTTAAAGTTCGGTTTGTTTGTATTGCAAATCTAAATTGGATACTAATTTTGCATTCATTTGTTTCTAGCTATGATTAGGGGTGTTTATATTAAATGTTAAATCGACCAAAATGATTAAACCGGTTTGGCCCAATCCAAGTTGGTCAGTTTTTCAAAATCATCAGTCGGTTTCAGTTTGTATGAGAAAATAAACTGATAATTCGGTTCAGTCTTGATTTTCATGTATGAAAACTGAAACCGAACCAAACCGATCCTATACGTTTATGTAATTATTAATTAGTCCCTACCCTATATGTTAAATGTTGATACATTTTATTTGTGTTTTGTTTGAACTTTGAAAAAAAATGGTTATTTATGATAAAAACTAAAATGTAAAACTAATACAAATATAATACAATGGTACAATATTTAATTCAGTTTTGTATAAATTTAAATATATATTGACAAAAAAATCAGTTTTGCATAAAAAATTAATCGATTTAAATATATATTCTGATTATGCATAAAAACTAAAAAGAAATAAATTTAAATATAAATAGATATTTTAGTTTAAAATATATATAAAAACCGACTAAACCAATAAACCGACCCTTCATGCTTGGTTCGGTTTCGGTTTAGTCAATAAGTAAACCGGCTAAGTCATGTCAGTTAAAAAAAATGACTCAAACCGACCCACCCCAACCTGTAAACACCCCTATACATGATTTGCTTTCTCATCTAATAAGAAATTGTATTTTATCTCATTTGCATTCGTTGGTAAATGGCAATACAAATTTTGCATCTAAAAAACTGATGCAAAATTTTCACCACTTGTTATTTCTCTCTCATATAAAGTGCCACACCATCTTGTAGGGTTGCAAATAAGTCTGATCAGATCCAATTCAAATCCGATACCGATCCATTAAGAAGTGGATTCAGATATCCTTCCTAATCCTACAAATCGGATCGGATCAGAAAAGTTGATTCATTAACGGATTGAATTCGAACATCAACCAATTTGATCTGTCGTGACCTGATCTGATCCGCTAATATATGTATAATTTATTTTTTTTATATATATTTTAAAGTAATTTTATATGACAAGTATTACCCTTTTAGTTTATATTTTAACTAGGTTTTATATATTTGTAATTTTATTATGTTTATAATTGTAATTTGGCTTATAATCCAAAAGGCCCTAAATCCCTAACCTAAACATGAATGAGACTGAATCATTTCTCCGGTCTTCCTCTTTGGTCATTCAGCGCCTGTCATTTGTAACCAATTACAACCTTCCTCTTTGATGCCTATGGTCTACCAAGTAACTTTGTTCCGACTATTCAACCGCCGCCCTACCCCTATTCTTCTTTTTCGAATGGTCGTGATCATTGAACTTGAACCTTTGTGTTTGAGTGGCTTTGTTATTCCATCATCGATGACGACATTGACAACACAACACCTTGTGCTGGAAAACTAGCACATCTCCCTCTTACACTGCCTCTCTCAGTCTCTCACTCGGCCATTGAAACTTAGAAATGGGAAACCGGGCTTGTACTATGTGCTAGCACTTTATGCTTCCCTCAATAATTAACAATCGGATTCAAATCAGATATCTGCTAAGATTAGCGAATCAAATTCGAATAAGCTTTTGTAAAATTCACCGAATTATTAATGGATTCCAATCACTAAGAAATGCTATTGAATCAAATCGGATATATCTCTTACCAAATCTAGTTCAATTGGTTTGCAGCTTTATTGATGCAGTATGAGATTCGGACCAACTGAGTAAACATTTATAAAGTTGGTTTTCGAAAACCCCTCTTAGTACATATAGGGAGAGGATGATACAACACAGAATGAAGCTAATAAGTTTTATGCAAATTGGGATCATTCCAAGACACATAAGAAGCATAGATGACACCATTGATCCAACTTGCTAAATATTTACTGATATAACATCATCACAAAATTTCTCTCTTAGTTCATTTTTACCAAGTTGGCACCACCGCAAAATTTCTATCTTAATTCATAATTACCAAGTTAGGGTTATAGCGAGATTTTGAATTTGTATTCAATTAGGACTTTCTTTTTGAAGAGTTTTATTAGGATTATATTGTGGAGTATTTTCTTAGATTAGGATTGCTCAATTAAGGCTTCATTTTTTAAGAGTTTTAATAAGATTCTATTATGGAGTGTTTTCATAGATTAGGAACATTTCTTTAAGAGCCACAAGGGTGTATGCCTATATAAAAAGTAGCTAGGGGAAGGCAAAGACAGTTTTGATACTTAATTTTCTCTTAATTATTCAGTGAAAAATTTTTATTCTTGGTAATTCAACTTCTGCTATTTTCCTTGAAGCTTTTCTCAACATGTTTTATTTCCGTACTGTACCACCTGTCATCTTGCTTCCTACCTAATTTGAGATCTGATTCAATCCTCACACAACTATGCTCACATTGTTCTCACAACCACTTGCATTTGTGCATTGGAAATACCTCCCCATCAATAAAATACATACAATTCCGGAGATGTTCCCAATACATGGATGTAATTGACTCTAATGACAATGTGATCACTGGTTTGTGAGGACTGTATCCAAGTTCCACTCCAAAACAAATAACCTTCCACCTACCTCCTCATTGTGACTACATCATCTGACTTCATATTAAATTATTACAAAACAAATAAGACAGTCAGTTCTAAAGTAAAAGTAAATCAAATTTTACAGCAAGGTGCCAACCAACTAATTGGTAAGGTCTCTTGCTGGTTGTAGCGGAAAATTGGGATCAAATCCCGCTTGCACCTAGGTTGGGGGATGGGCTACCCCTTGTTGTGCAACCCTTTAGAAGATATTAAAAAAAAAAGTCAGAATTCACACTCACCTTATTTGACACTGCAAACAAACAGAGCCTATTTTTTATTTTCTTTTTATTTTGATATTACATTGCTCTCATATCACTTATGTGGCAATTATGTGGAGTAAAAATGGAAACACAACATCACGGTTTCAAATGCCACATCAATTGATTCTCTAAATAGTGTAAAAAAAAACGTCAATTCTTAATGTTCAAGCCAACCAGTAGAAGGATCAATTAATCCCGATTCACGTGTTTTGGACAAATGCCCAAATGGGAATGATTTTCGAACTGGTTTTTGACACAAGTTTCATGTCCATGCCAATGGTAACCCTCCATGCTCCATGCCTAATGATAGAGGTTTTTTTGGTATTGAACAAAAAAAGACATTTGAAACAATGAATGAGGATTGAATAAAAGGACATTTTTTCTATGTCTAAGTGTATGAATGAGGATTTATCGATACACATCAATGAGTTTTGGTCTTCCGTTTGCAAAAAACACAAACTCAGCAATGAGCAATAAGGGTGGGTTTAGCTAGCAGTAGCACCAGAACGAGAGGGTGTTCTTCAATATAACTGTTACTATTATCTTGTTCTAAGAAATTACTACTTCAGAAAGAAAAATGGCTTGTTTGTCCTTAGGAATAAGAGTTTGATTCCAACTGTTTGGTTGGTGGAGTGAAAATCTCATTCTCATTCATGGTGGAATAGCATTCTCTTACTTGAGGAAATGATCATTTCCCTTTCTTGAGAATGTGATTCCATTTCAATTAATTCCAAGTCCAATTCCCATTTTAATCAAACAGGCTATGGGAATAGACAATTCTAATTCCAATTCCAAAAAATTATGATTCCAATTCCGATTGCAAGCCAAACAGGCCCTAAGTATAATTATTTTCCATTCTAGTAAATTTATACTTGCCTTTTATGAAGCGCTATATCAAATAAGACCAACGTTTTTATTTTAGAAAAAAAAAAAAAAGAATCAGGTCCAGAAATCAACATAGTAACAGTGTTTACGATCCCCACCCCCAATATATTATACTTTTTCTCAAGTAAACAGTAAGCACTAGTGGGTAGTGCACCATGAAGCCATCACAGCTTTAAAAGAAAGATCACTTTGGCTCTACGTCCATGTGTGTTTCCTCTACTACAAAGGGAGGTTATGTTCATTTGCCGGTATTTAGTGGAATAAGTGCATAATACCCAAGGTTCTAAATATTGGTACGCCCAACAACGTATCAAGTGATATGGATAGTATTTTTTTTTTACTTTTTTTTTATTTTATTTTTTTTCAAAATCAGTTCAAGGGAGCTAATTTAAGACTCCTCTACCCCTTGAACCAGTCAGAACCCCGATACTCTGAATTCAACGATCATTCAAGATATCAGTATCAATTATCCAGATAACGGATAGTCTGATACCCTCCTGAGAGGTGGATAAAAAATTTACCCGCCCGTTTTGTTGCAGCCCATAAACACTCTCCCTTTTACCTCTCTTCACCCAAATAACTGATAGCACACAAAAACGTTGGTAACTTGAAAAACACTTAGCCATGGTGTAATTGTAAATAAAAACGGACGAGCACAAAGTGTAATTGTACCTTCTAACTAAAATTTTGATTACTTCATAGCTGACCAATCATGGTTAGCAGCCGGTTTATCTATTTTAACATGTGAAAATAACAAAATTGCTACGTAACAATAGACCGGATAAATGCTAAATAAAATGGGTTATGGCAGAAAAGAGGAAAGGAAATCAGACATCTGTCAAGATTAATGAAGATACAATCATAACATAAGCTAGAAAGAAGAAAATGGCTATCTGGATGAAGAATTTTGGATTTTCCCTCATGCTCGGTGACGTAACCGCTCTGCAACAAAGAAATCACTTATTTATTCAAACTTGGAAAGTACAATAAGAAAAAGGAAAGCACAAAAACATTAAAAATAAAAATAAAAAAAAAAACATGAGAAAGGAAAAGAAGGGGGAAATGGATTAAACAGCATCACTATTGTCTATTGATACCGTGACAAACACTGATTAGAAGATGGAGGAAGAAGAAAGGAAAGGAGATTTGCCTTGCAATGCGTTGAGATAATCGGCAGAAGGGCAGACTCTGAAGGAAGACTATGCCCGGTCCCGTCAAAACAGCTGTTACTAGGTTCTCACCCTGCAAGATGATAACTAAACAACAATTAAACACATTGGATTGATTGAACTGAGTAAATAAACATGTATAGCTCAATTACTGGGCGTGCTCCAATCATGAATCTGTGTGTTTGAAGCACCAAGAATTGCTGCATGACTGAGTAAACATTTTTGCAACAGAATGAAGAAAGACACATGACCCTTTCATAAATAATCAACCTAAGCCTAATAATTCAAGCCCGAGTTGTGAAACCCGACTTAAGAAGACCTTAGGAATAGGAAATCCATGCCAAAAAAAAAAAAACCCAAACTGCACGTTGATTTATTTAAAATGGTTCTCACTTGGGGAACAGCAGGAGAGGCTAGCTGAAGCGAACTTTCTGCAACAACTAGGATTATATTTGCCACTTTAAATATGATTTAGTTATACCTTAAAAATAGTTTACCCCCTTTACCAAAGATGAGACATGCATAAATCAACAACCAGAAGTAATAAACGAATCATGTATGCCATTGTTAAGAATATGAGGGTGATATGAAGAGATAGGGGAATGGGGGAAAAAAAGCAATACAAGGAGGGGATCAGGGGATAGAGTAAGGGAAGATGGAGGAAATGAAAAAGAGATGAAAACACACTAAAAAAATAAAATAAAAACCTTACCCCAAAAACCACCCGCCTCATGGGACCAGAGAATTTGACCTGGAAATTGATGGTTGCCGACATGGCAACAATGCAGGAGGCATCAACAACCAGTACTTCACCAACATCGAGATTTTTCTGTACAACTAGCGCAGATGGAAGTTCCAAAGTTATCCACAGGTTAGTGAAAACGAGGATGGATTCAGAATATTTGGGACTTCAAGCCAAAACTAACTACTTAGATAAAAACACTGGAAAGGCATTAGATATTAATATTTTGTTCCAAGTAATTTACGTATTGAGAAGTTCAGCTTCAAGCCAAAGATGTAATTAAATGCAATTAGCACAGGTACGAGTCATATGACAGATAACTGATACAAGACCTAGATACAAGCCTCTGAATCATGGGACAGGTGGGATAACAGTCTAGACAATTCAATCATAAATAAGATTATCCTTATGGGTTCCAATATCTGAAATTTCATCACTACAACTGAGTTATCTTACCCCCTACCAATCCAATGAAAATTTGAGTCAGAATTTATCAATGAGGTCTTCAATTTAGGGGACTTAGGAAGTGGGTAAAGCAATCTCTTGATTGTGAAAAGCTTTTAAATTTTTGAAAGGTAAAGTAGTTGTATTAATGAAGGGGAGAGGACTCCCAATAGATAAAAGAAAAATCCCCTATAAGGAGGGGCAATCAGTATGAGCAATTCACATCATGTACAAAATAGAATAAAGCTCTCAAAAAGGGGTGGAAGACCAATTATTTGTCTCCACTGATTACAGATATGAGAGAAGGATATGCCTCTTAAGTCTTTCTTTATGGACACCCACTTGAACATGAGTCTTTCTGCCCTACCAATCACCACTTCCACTCAAGTGGAATTACCCCTGGAGATCCGATTGTTCCTCTCCTCACATAGCACCACCCAACAGATGGCTAAGGGGGAATCTAGCCAGAGCAATTGCCAACTCCTAGTGAAACCAGCTTCAGGCCATGCAGAGAACAAGGTGCTGTTACCACTAGGGGAAGCTAAGCTAATCACTGTTGACAGTACAATTCAGAAACCCTCTGATTCAAAGTTCTTCATTTCTTTGCCAAATATGCAAAAAGTCATCAATTGGTTTGTAAAAATACTGCTGCTATCAATGATTTTCATTGTATTTCAGTGTTTAGGCAGATTTTGTTCAGCAACAAGAAAAAAATAACTTACTAAAACTGTGTCAAGATGATCAAAGTAATGGTAAGAAACTGGGTACTGTAAACCAAAATGGGTGCAGAAGCAATTTTGGCATCTAGTAAATAAACCAGGGCATTTGATGCATGCAGGTCTGCTCAATGGTCACACCATGATCAGACCCCATATCCAGAGAATAAAACCCAAACTCAAGCCAGAACTGCAACAGCCCAAGCAAATTTTAAAAACCCTGAACATTTTTTAAGGAAGAATGGCAGACAACCTATGTAGCAACAGACCAACACTCTCTGTTATAATCTATAATCAAAACTAGGAGTTGGATATGACAACTTTGCAAGATATGAAATGCAAACCTGTGCACACAGGTTATTTCATTCTAAGATGTGTTTCTAACATGGTTTAATTCATTCCAACCATGCAGTCTGTAAATATGTAGTTAGAAGAAACTGACAAGCATACAAATCATATGACAATTTGCAGTAACACAATGCCATTAAAAACTAAGAATCGGAATTGGAGAGAGGAATTTTTAGTTTCTTACCAGATCCACCAGCAACTATGAAAGCAAGCCCTTGGCCAGCCAGCTTCTGTCTCAGTATTGCCTATAACAACATCAACTTCACGGTCAAATAGACAACTCCATACAGAAATAACAAGGTGCAAAGTCAATGGATATAAATAAAGCAAAAGACACATATCCCAAGGTAGCATAACATCAGCTGCATGCTGATCTCATCTTTTAATTGTAGAGAACACTCATGTGGGCCCCACAGCTACTGTCCCACTGTGTTCGTAGGGTGGAAGGTGTTCTAGTCTTCCTAGGGTTAGCTATTGGTCAYTTAGTTGTTTCAGTTRTTATTTATTTCAGTCTTATTTTTGCTCTATTTGTTATGTAAAGACTAAGGGCAGATCTGTCCTTTCCATGTAATGAGCATAACCTATAAATATTAATTAAAGTGGCGACGGCAGAACATTAAGCTTCTGCTCCTCCTTTTTCAACTCTTGTGTTCTAYTGCTTCTCCTCCCTCTTCCTCCTCTTTTCTCTTTACCTTCTTATTTTCGAACCTGAAATCAATTAGGGTTCAAGACTGATAACAGTCCTGAATTTCTACTTTAATTAAACAGAAAGAAAACCAGCATTGATCATGATCTCACCTCTGGACCAGGGACAACATTACGGTGCCTATGATCGATAGAGTTGGTGACAGTCACATCATGGACTGAGCAAAGAAACGCATCTGGCTACAACAACCATTTCCATAAAATGTAAACTCAACAAAAGAAAGCAAAGAAAAGGCAACAAGCTAACTAGACTAACAAGAGACACATGGGAATATCTTCACTAAGTTGCTGACTGTAAAATGAGAGGTTATGGTAAAAACACCATCCAAATTCATCTAATGTTGGAATGGGTGTTGCTGATAATTAATTCTACCTGGCATAAAATTTCACCGCCAAACATTGCTAAGTCAATCTGTAAGAACCGAAAACACAAGTACGAAACAAGAGTGAGTGTGATTGGTGATATCCAGAGATAAATATTAGTAGTATGAGCACCTAATAAAGACCAAATAATGAAGTTAAGCAGACACGAAATGCATAATTTAATAATGCAAATATGGAACCAAGTAAAATGGATATATTTTGTAAATACAGACCGGTAGTATCCTTGCAAGAGAAGGTGCAGCTATTCCAACAAATCCATCATTTGGACCAGGATTGAGAAGAACAACATTAGTCACATTCTTCCCAAAAAGCCATTGCCAAATACCTCCTTCATTTTCTGGGGGGTAAACATTTTCCATCTGAATGGACCCTGACATGTAGCACATGGAGCCTACAAATTTTATTAAAGCATCAGATAGACAAATTAAGGACATAACAGATGTGACTAGCTCCTTCATCTAGAAAGTGACAATTAACAATTTAGAATACCATAGGGAAAGGAAATGTTAAATACATTGTGTATTTTATAAAAGGACATGCAAAAAAACTGCCCCCAATTGGAGGAAAATAGCAAAAATCCAAACCAGAGTTGTAGAAAATGGCGGAAGAACATTTTATGGTATAACCTAAGGTTGCAGTTCTATTAGACCATCTAACAATTTCTGCACATATGTTCCTTGTTGAAACAAGGGAAAGACATTTATAAAGCCAATACTTTGCCAGACATGGTTTCTAAGATCTCAATAGAAGTTCATGCAGGCAATAGGAGCTTCCATGATAAAGTGAGTAGGGGGTAAATCATTTTATTACATGACAAAGGAACTACCATGATAAAGCCAATGAATGCTTTGTCACTCCCCAAGGGATAAAAACAAAGGTACTACAATGATAGAGTGAGTATGGGATAAATCATTTTATTACATGTATATTGCATCACAAATAGATGAGGAATTAATTAGGATTTTTTAATTATATTTTTAAAGTTAGATTAGTTTAAAATAGAACCTTAGTTTCTATGGCTTTCATTAAAGTCAGTAATCACTTCTGAAAAAAGCTTCTTGAACATTGATCAGTAAATTTGTGATCAATCAATGATACATTATTACATCTAATATGGAGAAGACATATGGTGTACTATCAGGTTCACGTACACTGTAAAACATAAATCAATCTGAAAAAGATCCTTGTCCGGATGGAGAAGACTGAAGGGAGACTTAAACCCTAAAACCCTGGATGGCATACGATTTATAAGGTAGGTAGCAATGAGAACAACATCACCCCAAAATTTTGTAGGGACATGTGAGGCAAATAGAATACTTCTTGCAACTTCAACAATATGTCTATTTTTTCTTTCAGCAACT